TACAATGTTATAGCAATGATGGATGACAATGAGAATGAGGTTTTACACTTCCTTTAAGATGTTAAAGACTATTAAGAGGAGGTTTATTTGATTCATAAGTTGACCTATTTGTTAATTGTTAATAGGAATTGATGTGACATAGTTTAATATGAAAAATTCGGATTTGGTAAGTTTAGGGGGTTATGTTAAACATGCTTCAATATTTCGATCATAACTTGAGTTATAAAAATCGAAATGAGATGATTCTTGAAGCACTAGAAAGTTAAGACATAGTTCTATAACTTTTATGTTTAGGCCAAAAGCCAATTCGTTTAGTGAGCTTAATACTTTTGATTTATCTATGAATTATCAATCCATTTGCATTACCTTTTGGTCACATTTATCATCTTAAAACATGTATTACATTGCATCTTCATGCCATTTCATAACATTAATCATGCATTCACATCATGACCATATATATCTTTAAAAAATCATCTAAGTAATGGGTAAACATTAGTATATGGCTTAATCACATCAATATATAATCAATTCATAATCATAATAAACAATTATGTTAAATTTTAAATTTTAATAACTAGAAGTTTATTCTTCAGGCCATTTTCCATCCATTTCCTAAATGAATTGGCTCTTGGTGTAAACATAAAAGTTATAGGGCTATGTCTTAACTTTTTAGTGCTTCAAGAATCATCTCATTTCGATTTTTATAACTTAAGTTATGGTCGAAATATTGAAGCATGTTCATAACCCCTAAACTTACCAAATCTGAATTTTTCATATTAAACTATGTCACATCAATTCCTATTGACAATTAACAAATAGGTCAGTTTGTGGATCAAATAAATCTTCTCTTAATAGTCTTTAACATCTTAAAAGAAGTGTAAAACCTCATTCTCATAATCATCCATCATTGCTATAACATGTTAATGCAAACAACACATTAACACTTTTAATAGCAACCATTCAATACCATGTGGCCTCCAATACTACAAGTTTTGCCACAATCAACAACAATACTTCATTTTCTTCAATTAAACATAACAACTCATAAAACATAAATGACAATTACTTCATGTATAATGAATTCAAGGCAATAAATAAAATTAATGAGTTCAACTACAATTGTCATTAACAAATTTTATGTCTTAAAGCCTTAATTTAAGGTTTCATTAAAATTTACAAACCCTAGCATAATCCCTAAAGTCATGGGAGGTTTTTCCTTATCTTTTTAAAGAATTTCCCCACCAAATCCTTTGCCTTTATCTTCTTTTACTCCTTAAACCCTTTAATTTGAAGATTCAAGGCTCCTATCTTGTTCTCTTTGAAAATATTATGCAAAACTCTTTTAAAACTTAGAGAGGGAAAGCTTGTTTCATTGAGGATTTGAGAGAAAATGGAAGAAATGTTGAAGAAATGATGTCTCCTCTTGGCTTGAACGAATTTTCCTATCATTTATAGGAAAATATTTCATTAATTTTCCAGAATTATGCTATTGGCCCAATTATTTTTATTGTATAACTCATAAGTCCTTAATTCTTCATATAAAGGTATTTTGGTCATTTAACACTAAACATAATTATTACTTAATGCCATTAAACCTACTCATCCTTGACTTTTGTAATGCTTATCCATAGGCAAAATGACTATTTTGCCCCTAATATCCTTTTATGGATAATTGATTCATACGTTCCAAATGAATTGACTATTTTGTTCTTAGTTAGATTTTATGTTTTTTAACATAAAATTAACATCTAAAGGACTATTTTGAGTTGAGAAAATACCTTTGACATCTTGGGTATTACATTTCCTCTCCCCTTACAATAATTATGTCCCTGAAATTATAGAAACAGTTCTGGGTATCGACTTTTTATATTTTGCTCCATTTCCTAAGTAGTTTCTTCTATCTTGTGATTCCTTCAAAGCACTTTTACTAGTGAAATTTGCTTGTTTCTGAACTCTTTTACCTTTCTGTCAAGGATTTGAATTGGACGTTCCTCATAAGTCAAATTATCCTGTAATTCCACTGTCTTCATCTAAAGCACATGTGAAGGATCACTAATATACTTACCCAGCAAAAAGACATGGAAAACATTATGGACTCTTTCCATGCTCATTGGTAGCGCAAGTCTATAAGCTACTTTGCCTACTCTTTCCAATACTTCAAAGGGTCCAATGTAAAATGAAGCAAGCGTGCCTTTCTTTCCAAACCTCATAATATGTTTATAAGGCGCGACTTTTACAAAAACCTTGTTGGCCACTTGAAATTCTACTTCTTTTCTTTTTAGGTCGGCATAGCTCTTCTGTCGATCTTGGGCTTGCTTCATTCTTTCTCTGATAAGCTTGACATCTTCAATCATTTTTTGTGTCATCTCTGGTTCAACTGCTTGAACCAAATAATCTTTTTCTCCAATATAATCCCAGTACAAAGGGGATCTGCATCTTCTTCCATATAATGCTTCATATGGGGCCATCTAGATAGTGGATTGATAGTTGTTGTTGTAGGCAAATTCTATTAGTGGAAGTATATTATTCTATTTTGCCTTGTGATCCATACAACAAGCTCTAAGCATGTCTTCAATCACTTGGTTAGTCCTTTCAGTTTGTCATCAGTTTGAGGATAATAAGTCATACTGAAGGCTAACTTTGTACCCAATGCTCTCTGCATTCCAACCCAGAAAGCTTATATGAACTTGGTATCTTTGTCTAACACAATCGTCTTGGATACTCCATGTATTCTCACAATCTCTTTGACATATAACTACCCTAATCGAAATGCATCTATCTTATCTGTCATAGGTAAAAAATGAGTTGTGTCACAGGTAGAAAATGAGCTGTCTTGGTCAATCTGTCAACTACCACCCAGATTGCATTATATCCTCGCTGAACTTTAGGAAGTCCCACAATGAAATCCATTGAGATATCCTTCCATTTCCATTTAGGAATCTCTAAGGGTTGGAGTAATTTTGAAGGTCTCTGATGCTCTGCCTTTACTTGTTGACATATTATATATCTGACAATATAATTGGCAATGTCTTTCTTCATACCTGACCAATAGTTTTTCTTTACATTTATACACTCCTAGGGTGGGCTGTATAAAGTGTATCGTATGTCTCACTAAGGATTTTATTCCTTAGTTAGTTCTTCATCATGAGGTACACATATTCTATCTCTAAACATCAGTGCCCCATCGACTATTTTAAAGTTTGTCTCTTTACCCTCTGTCATCGGTTGGCAGATCTCCTTGCTGATATCTTCTTTAGCCTGTTTCATCTTGATCTCCTCCACTAAAGTGGGTTTGATCTCCATTTGAGCCAATCCTCCTTTAATCACAATTTCAATTCCTTCTTGGAAGATCTCCTGCTGTAGTCATCCCTGTACAGTAATCTGAGATAAAGAGACTTTTCTACTAAGGGCATCTGTTACCCAGATCAAATGGTGTACATGCATGGTCTTAATAAGTTCATGTCAGGATGTCCTGACTAGAGATCAGTCAGGACCATATATATTTACCGTTAGATCCATTACATTGGACTAAATAACCCAGATCAAATGCTGTATGTGCATGGTCTAAATAAATTTATGTCAGGATGTCCTGGTTAGAGAATTAATATATTTATTTATTTATATTTATTAAAGAAGTTAAAAAAATTGTCATATACTGCTTAGCCAATTTGGCACCCTTCTTTGGTGATACCACAAACGTCAAAGGAAATTCATACACAGCTTGCAAATGAGGCCATGTAGGGCCTGTTGAGGGTTCTTCCTCTTCTAAATCAAAAGCTTTTTTATCTTGTTATGTCATTGAAGTCATAGACGATGCAAAACGGGTTCAGTTTTTTGGTTAAACATCCTTAATACTTCAAGCAATGCTTGTATGATATCCGGTGGTTTTTTATGGCAAGGCTTGCAGGGTTTTAGATATCAGTGTGTCCTGATAGCGTATATGGGCAGTGTTATTTGGTGCAGTGGTGATGGTTGACAAGTGTAGTGCGTGTAGATGTTATTTTTTTTTTGCAATTTTGGAGGGATTTTTTTTCTTTAAGCAAAACTTTAAGTTAAGCGTTATTTTTGGAAACAATGGAAAATTCAATTAATGCAGAATAAGATGTATGAGATGACATCATAACCTTTATAATCTTTACTGTGTTGAAACTAGAAACCCTGAGCTTTAAGGGGTGTGATAGATTTGGAACTGCAGGGGATGACTGTGATACTGTAGCAGACCTCAGGAATCTAGGTGCTATTTTTTCTTAAACTTTTGCTGCAAGTTAGAGTTGATATAGATGATGTTATTCAAAGAGATATCCCTAATATATGTTCATCTGCTTCTTTGTTTGCCTGCAGAGAAAAAATTTTAAAACTCTGGATATTTTGTTCTTGGACTGTAGCAATGCTTTAAGTTTGTGGTATAAACTAATTCAGGCGGCAAAAATATAGTGATATATTTTGGCTCTTTTGCCCCTTTTTGATGGAACATTTTCATGCCTTTGGTGAAAGAGACATGGTCAAAATTTGGAGGAGTTGCACATTGTTGGCTACTTTCTGCTGATGTAGCAAGAAAGAAATAGAAGGATCTTTCTTCTTCATGCTTCGCTGGAAAACACATCATTTCAGGAATAGATTTTTAGAGAATAAATAGAGAATATAATGGTTTGAGAGGAGAGAAAAGGGAATAAAGAGAGAAATGTTTGTTGACTGTGCATTTTGTTTTAAGAACATGCTACTTGTTTGTAGGCTCCCCACACGAGACAAGCAACAGACTTTTCTGTAAACTGCTGCCTGCCAATGCAATGGCTGACAGTGTCAGGCCTGGGTGCGAGTAATTTGCAGGAGCCCAGACTAAGACCTATTAGATGTTGTGATTAATTACTTCTTTGTCAAATGTGATCATGTCTAAATAATATTTGTCACATTTAGTTGGTTTAAATTATGTCTTCCATTGTCTATTACATGTTTCTTAAGGTGTCTATGGGTTCATATGAAACTGAAATATGTTGCAGGTGATTGAGATGTCTGGGGTTTGTGCTGCGTCTGACATTTGGAGTGTTGGCTGCACTGTGATTGAATTGCTTACATGCGTGCCTCCTTACTATGATCTGCAGCCTATGCCAGCTCTCTTTCGTATTGTCCAGGTTTGATCTATGGTTTCTTCATAATTGTTACCCATTTATTAGGATGAGGAACCAAATGCTTCCTGCAAATCCTGTGATTTTTTTTCCTTCTTTTTATTTCTGTTAAAATCACATTGATCTCTCATAATGCCTGATGGATTTTTATGATCCATAGTGCTCCTAGAATTATACCTTTCTGCTAGAATTTCTAAAATATTGTTATTGTTAGGTTGTTTATTGTAATGATGACAAATTTTTTCCTCTTTCCCCACTTTTCTTTTCCAATAATTTCAGGATGAGCGTCCTCCAATACCTGATAGCCTATCTCCTGACATCACTGACTTTCTGCGTCAATGCTTTAAGAAGGTAAAGTGCAAGATAAATAGTCTTTTCTTTTTTTGCTCAAGGTTTTTTGTTCATCTCTAAGTCATAGATCAGTGTAGTTGTTTAATCATAGAATTTTGTATGTAGTACTCTAGCCACCTCAACTTCATACTTCATGACTATTTGATGTTTTTGATGTTTTGACTTTAATTATTTAGAAAGAGGGTGACTGGTCTTATGTTTTTGATTCAGTAAAGTAGTTGCTGGTGAAAGCACTTATGTCATCTCTCTACTAAATTGTAGTAGTTGTGCAGACATTCCAAAAGTCACAAGTTTGTCATTATTTCTTAGATTGCATCATATAAATTTTGTAACACTAGCTCCAAAATTTCTTCTCCTTAATTACTGATGTGCAGTTAGAGAACTTTACAGTTAGTACATCTTCCAAAGTGAGGGACACCCTTGAAGTGGTAGATCTCTTGATCATTAAGGCATTAACTTCCAAGAAGATGCTTGCATGAGTGAAAAGATGCTGGATGTTAAAGTTGTATTTTGTGATTGTCCACTTCTATGATCAAGATAGTTATAGTTAACTCCTATAGCAATTCTATGTATTTCATAAAATGTCAACAAAATTAAGAATAAATAATTTTTTTTTTTTTATAAAAGAGCCACTGATTGACATGCAATGAGAGAAGTCATTATGCATGAGATTTATGAGATAGAAGAATTAGTACCTAGTTTGCACTTGTATGACGATTTGTTTTTGAGTGGGGGTGATTGAAGCAAGGCAGGATAATTAACTTGTAATATAGAGGTGAATGCCATTTGTTTGACTTCCCCTTGATGTGTAGTATACTGTCATTTCCATCATTCATTGCATGACCTATTGTTGCTTTTTCCAGGATGCTCGACAGAGGCCTGATGCAAAGACATTGCTATCTCACCCTTGGATACAGAACTATAGACGTGCACTGCAGCCTCCTTTTCATCATAGTGGACCAGTGAGGTAGATACATTTATAGTCCCATATATTATTTAGTTGCCTGTTGTGCAAGGAATCTATGTTCTTGATGCACAGAAGTTTTGATGGTTTCAATCTACATGCTAATTCATAAGTTTGTAGTGACTTTTACAAATTAGTCTTAAGAGATTTGGATCTTTATATATACATATTGTATTTTATTGCACTGAACACGTCCATGTGCAACTCTGACGGTGTAATTCAATTCCTGTACATCAGAGACATTGTTAAACTTGTTACTATAACCATATGCAAGTTTTTGAAAATTTAAATTGCAAGTTTCTTACTAATTTTAAATTTTCCACCATTTTTTTTACTCTCGCTGCTGGTGCTTATATCATTTTTTAGCAAATGGGAATTTAATAGTTTTCACTAGTTTAATTGTGAACTTTTTAAAATTCTCTGCTCTTCGGCATATTTTGTTGTCCCTTTTTTTATCCTAGTATTGATAGAATAAACTTGTGCACTGATTGTTTCAGGTTTTATGATTTGATTTCTAGGGGTACAACTTCCTGTAGGACTGTTTATTGGGATGTTATATCTCATAAGTACCAAGTTTGTAGGGTCTGGCAGTAGTTTTAACTTGGTGAACCGTATGAATGGGTCAGGCATTCCTAGGTTCCATAAAAAATTCTAAGTTTGTTGGACTTCTCAAGTAATATATACATGTTGGAAATTGAGGCTTTTTTTTCTTATTTTCTTTATTTCTTTATTTTTTTTTTTTTTTTTTTTTTTTTAACATATGAAAATCATTTAGTTGTTCATACTTCAACATTTTCTATTTATACGATTGATACATGGTTTGGTCTAAGTTGAAAATCAATGATAAGAGTGTCCACTCTTGTAACACAATTTACTTCATTAATTCAATTTTTTTTTTTTTTCTATAGAAAATTCCTTTAAATCTTGAAACAGGCTGTGTGATAAAATATGGAAAAATCTTTACCAAGAATGAAAAGTTGCTGGAGTTTATTGAGTTTGTTGCATGTTTGGTTTAGTGGTAGTAATGGTGGAATCCATCCTGTAATTATTATGAGATCTTTTGCATGGGATCCCAGTAAATGCCACCTATTAGGGCTTTAATTTAGGTTCTCTGTTAAATGTCTGACTGAAATATTGGAGATATAACTCTGTTGTACTGACTAACGATTTTGAATTCTGGCCCAATGGTATTCTTCTTTTAGGTCGAGAAGTTGTTAGTGTTTCTTCCATTTGTCTTCTATTTATCCTTTTTACATTTCATCTAGCCCACCCTGCTGAAGAATGATTTTATTTTATTTTTTCTTTGGTTTATGTCTTTACCATCAGGATTTTTGTATTCTATGGAAGCATTGAATCTAATCTGCACTTCCAGTGAAGTGTGTTTTACTCCTGTTGTTATTGTATGCTTCCTCACTAAATACTCTTCTTTTTGGCAGAAATAAACATGAAGATGTTTCGACAGATGCGGAAATGTCTAATGAAGATAATTGGAGTGCTGGTGAAGGTTTTTCAACAGAGAAAGCAGGAGCAGCTGTGACTGTGAGAATATTTTCTACCTGGACTTTCAATGGAGCAAATTAATACCCTTTTATGAAACAATATACAGAGTGATGTGTTTGGCAAAAGGAATTGGATAAATTAAATTAAAGAAAGTACAAAATAAGCAGTGCTAAGAGTTATCTACTCTTCAATTTAAGATGAAGTAATTGAAGTGTATTTGTTTTTCATTAATGACTTGGGCCTTTAAATTTTCAGGGCTCTAGGAAAGACTTGCCGGAAGCTACGCATTTGAGCAAATCTGATAAGGAAAATTCTTCAAATGGTAATTTTGTTGAAGAAAGAATAGAAAATATAGAAAATCTAGAGGATGTCATTCAATCAGATCAAGTTCCCACCTTATCTATTCTTGAGAAGTCAGCTATACAAACTGGGTCTTGCACTATATCTTCTAATAAAGTTGTGGGTGCAAAGGATCCAACTGAGCTTCAAGAGATATCAAATACAAGTGATCAGGAGGAAATGCTGATCAGTGGTGAGGCTGGATCTCCTGAAACAAGACGAAAAAATGTAGCTACTAAACATGGTGGGAAAGGAAGTTCTAACAATGTTGAGAATAAATCATTTGGTTTTCCGAGAAGTCAAAATAATAATCTTCAGAAGGTATGACCCTGTTCAGTTTAGAATTTAAATATAATTCCTTTTTTTTTTCTCTGTGAAAAGAAGGGAAACAGTAAAACTTAAGAAAACTTATTTATTTGAAATGTCTTCAAAAATATTTTCAGATTTTAATTAGATACAACGCTAAAAGCTACTTTACAATCAGAAAATGAAAAAAAAAAAAAAGTTCATTATAACTGTTTTCTATAGTTTTCTAACTTTGGAAACAATCTTTCGATATGAAAAGTATTGGGAAACAAGTCATAGTTTTTGAAAATTATTTACAAATCATAAACAACATGGACCTTAAATTAATTGTAATTAATATCAGTTTATTCTGATTGCTGTTCATCATAATTTTGTTTTTGTTGTTAGATCTAAATTTTCTTTTTACAGTACCAGAAAAGGCTTGCATAACTGTATGCACTGATAAAATATTTGTCATGAACAGTTCTTGCGGTAAATCATTGCTAAGATGGAAAAAAAAGGTTGTGGCTTGGGTGTGTGGATGTTAATTTGCCAAATGAAGAAAGAAAAAAAAGGACTAATAACATTTTCATTGAGATGACTGGTGTTTCTACCTTAAGAACAAAGGAATTTATTAAGTTTTTTAGCCAACAAAATGAATGTAATAAATAACTTCACTCATTTCCTAGTAATGGATGATATTAGATCCCCATGGTCTTTGGGCCTAGTGGCATCTGTTTTTCCCATTATAGTAGGGTGCAGAGCAAAAGTTATGGGTTTGATCCTGGTTGTGTTCATACATTTATTTACCAATTTTTTTTTAAACGATGTTGTTTTTGCTATTTTTTCCCTTCATTTCTTTTTCAGTAATTTTCTGAGGGCTAGTAGTGGTTTATCCAAGGCCTGGATTCAAGCTTACCTAGGAGTCTGATTACTACATTAAAAAATTGAACCTAATGGATTTGTGTAAATTCCATTTTTGAAGGCTGTAAAGTCATCAACAACCTTGGGAGAGAATGAGCTGAGTAGATTTAGTGACACTCCTGGAGATGCTTCCTTGGATGATTTATTTCATCCATTGGAGAAAAACATGGAGGATCGGGCAGCTGAAGCTTCAACATCTGCATCCACATCGCATGCGAACCAAAGCAATGCATCTGTTACTGATCCTGGGAAAAATGACTTGGCTACAAAATTGAGGGCTACAATTGCTCAGAAACAGATGGAGAATGATATGGGGCAGACAAATGGTGGTGGAGGGGACCTATTGCGGTTAATGATAGGTGTTTTGAAGGACGATATTGACATTGATGGCTTGGTATGTTTGAAGTATTGAGGTTGATTGCTCTTTTTTATTATAATCATAAAAGGAAAAAAAATCTGCATTGAGTTCAGAAGGTTAATGTCTTATTATATGGTTCTCATTGTTTATTTATTTTTTTCTTGGGTCAGGTTTTTGATGAGAAATTGCCTCCGGAAAACCTTTTTCCTCTACAGGTACTCAGCATTTTGTTACCATAAGCAGTCTTGATTGGTTTGATATCGATGTTCATCTGCACTGGATTTGTGTGCATTTTGTGTTCTACTAATTAAGCAAAAAGTATATGTTCTGTAGATTATGTAGTGACTTTTGGTTAGGGTATGTGATCTTTCTCTTGATTGTGAATTGAAGTTTGGAGTTAAAAATGCTTGTGATTATTTCTAAGTTGGTCAGGCTCCACCGATATATTACTTATATATTCAGTAGAGAATCCTTTTTTTTCCTAGTGAAGGTTTCAATGACATTGAACTCCCTTTTGGATCTTCTATTTAATATTTATTAAATTTCTGCTGAAACAACCTCTGCTACTCATAGTTATTTGGGTTGGATAAATGACACCATATGTTTTATTCAGAATAATGACATTTAATCCACTTTCAATAGGTGGGTTAAATTTGACATGTATGATTAACGTAGTTTGCAGTTGAAGTTTAGGAATGAGATATAAGATTTAATTTCAACTAGTCAAAGTTAAAAGAGTATATTCCTATGCTAAGTATTGCTTTAAAGGAGTTAAACCTATGACAACCTATGACCTACGCTTCTGGAACATATGTTATGTCAATTCTTCATGTCTTTTGCTTATTAATTCCTGCTGAACATGTCAACAGATTTGAGAAATTATATATAAGTTTTTATTTTATTATTGCATAGACTTGAAGCTTATTATGTTTTTGCTTTGTAGGCTGTTGAATTTAGCAGATTAGTCACATCCTTAAGATCAGATGAATCTGAAGATGCAATAGTTTCTTCCTGTCAGAAACTTATATCTATCTTTCACCAGCGGCCTGAGCAGAAAATTGTTTTTGTTACCCAGCATGGTTTGCTCCCTCTAATGGAATTGCTTGATGTTCCTAAAATTCGAGTATGTTAGCTATATGAACCTTTATTCATTTTTTAAGTGTTCATTAGTATATGCCAGAAGTTGGAATTAACAAACATCATTTGAGTTTATTAGCGCTTTTTATGACTGCAGGTTTTATGTAGTGTGCTTCAACTAATAAATCAGATTATTAAAGATAACTCCGATTTCCAGGAAAATGCTTGCCTTGTTGGTTTGGTAAGTAGTATGCTCATTCAAGCTTTATTATTCCATAAGTTGATAATTGCTTGACATTTATGGTTGGGTGGCTTCTGAAAAGGAGGCTGACATTTGTGAATTTGCTCCAGTTGAATAGTCCTTTTTCTGTGGACTTACCTCTGTCTTTATTATGACCTTCTTATAGTATACACTAGTTTTTATTGTTGGATAGTCAAGTAAATCAAATTTGTGTGTAACATAAATGAAAGGAACATGAATTCTGGGTGATTTTAGGATTCCCTTTTCACGATAGTATTGCAGCAGTAATATTTAGCACTGTGTTTCACATTATATTTACCATGTTTTTTATTTTCCTGTGCTCTTGAAAAGACAAGTGGGTGGGATTTTTTTGTAGATTAGATGCGATTTTACTAATTTTGAGCCACATGATAGATCCCTGTTGTGATGAGCTTTGCTGTACCTGATCGTCCTCGGGAAGTTCGCATGGAGGCAGCTTATTTCTTGCAGCAGCTTTGCCAGTCAAGGTTTGGAATTTTCTCCTTTATTTGCTTGTAATTTCTTGCTTTTCTTTATTGGAAAATAGAATTAGGACATATCACGAGTTTTCTTATTTGCAGCTCATTGACGTTGCAAATGTTCATAGCTTGCCGTGGAATTCCTGTTTTGGTTGGTTTTCTAGAGGCTGACTATGCAAAATACAGGTTTGTCTCTCAGTTTGAAAGATTGGTGTAGGAATTAGTGAGTACAGACCAGAGAAGTCAATAAATTTAAAAATGACTTTTTTTCCATGAAAAATCTGTTGTAAAACTATATGAGTAAACATTGCTCATCCACTAATGATACCATCTATCAGAATTAAGTGAATATTCTTTTTGGAGTGCATAGAGGCTTCCATGCACTGTATAAAGTTCTCATAATACAGTATAAACGTGCAGAGTTACCTCTTTGAGGAACATTGTTTGGTCATGTTTAGATATCCGGTGAAATAGAATCTGTAGATAGTAGCATCATTTGAATACCATCCAAATTTATGTGGTTTGAATACTTTGGGGAAAGATTAAGTGTAAAATTTTCTTTTTACATGCATTATTCAAAATATTCATTCACTTGAANACCTATCAGAATTAAGTGAATATTCTTTTTGGAGTGCATAGAGGCTTCCATGCACTGTATAAAGTTCTCATAATACAGTATAAACGTGCAGAGATACCTCTTTGAGGAACATTGTTTGGTCATGTTTAGATATCCGGTCAAATAGAATCTGTAGATAGTAGCATCATTTGAATACCATCCAAATTTATGTGGTTTGAATACTTTGGGGAAAGATTAAGTGTAAAATTTTCTTTTTACATGCATTATTCAAAATATTCATTCACTTGAAGATAATAAGAAGCCTGTCTCTTTTAGGAAAAACAATCTTGCAAATGCATTGTTATGTTTCCTTTGAGACACAGCTTTTCTACTAGATTGCTCCTTAATGGACTTACTGAAAGTTAAAATCTTCTTGTTCCTTAGATGTTTTGCATCAGTTGTGATCATAATATAGAAATTGGTCATTGTTCTAATTTGATGATCTTGGTAGTAACATGACCTTATATATTACCGTTTGGCCACCTTGGTCAGCACGTAGTTTCATTGTGGCAAATAATTAGTGGGTTTGATATTATGGTGATATTTAGCTCCTTTTTCCACTGGAACAGAGTGCCAGACATTCTTATTGGGTTTGATTTATTTTATTTTATTATTAATATAAAAAACAATGAAATTTATACTATTAATGAAAGGAGATGAATTTGCAAAAGTGGACCAGCAGACCACTATGTGAACAAAACTGTAACGACGGTTAACCACCATATACGAAGACAGTCAAATGACCACAATAACCTTATAATTGTTGTGAAAACACTATCCTCACCTCCCTTTTATTTTCATTAATTCTTATGTTCATCTTACTCCTCTATTGTTGATATTTTATATTTTTGCTATTAATCTTTGAAAATGCACTGATTGTGTTCTTCACATCCAGGGAAATGGTTCACCTAGCTATTGACGGCATGTGGCAAGTCTTTAAGCTTCAGCGATCTACCCCAAGAAATGATTTCTGCCGTATAGCTGCAAAGAATGGGATACTGCTTAGGCTTATTAACACACTTTATAGCTTGAATGAGGCAACTCGACTAGCTTCTATATCTGTTGGGGGTGGATTTCCGGTAGATGGGGCAGCTCAACGACCACGTTCTGGTCCCTTGGACTCCAGCCATCCTATATTCACTCAAAGTGAGGCTCCACTTTCTTTAACTGATCAGCCTGATGTTCTTAAAGCTAGGCATGGAATGAGTGATCTTCCCTTGTTAATCGGAACTCAAGAACCTTCACGAGGTTCAACGTCTCATTCCCAGAGGTTAGATGCCAATCAATCAGATTCCCAATTTCTTGCTGTGGATAATGACAGATCACAATATAGCAATGGAGTGTTGGATGCAGTCGCTTCAAAATTGCCAGAGCCCGTTGCAAATTCAGCAACTAAGGAACCTTCAGCTGCCATGTCTAAAGAGCGAGACCTGGATAGATGGAAAGCTGATCCTTCACGAGCAGAAATTGACCTCAGACAGCAGCGAATCACTAACTCTGCAAATAGGACATCTACAGACAGACCTCCAAAATCACCAGAAAGTGCATCTAATGGATTTCCTACTTCAATGACTACTCAGTCAGATCAAGTTCGACCTCTGCTTAGCTTGTTGGAGAAGGAACCACCCTCCCGGCATATCTCTGGTCAGCTGGAGTATATGCGCCACCTCCCCGGGATGGAAAGACATGAAAGTATACTGCCCCTCTTACATGCATCTAATGAAAAGAAAACCAATGGCGATTTGGACTTTCTGATGGCAGAATTTGCAGGTGATTGCTTTTATTTATATACTTTTCCATGGCTTTAGGAATTTGACCCTGTATCATTTCAACTTTATACTTCCAGGTTGTAGTTTATAAGCATCTGGGTGTCGAGCTTTGCTTTGACCTTTAATGTGGCTCCTTTCCTATGTTCCTCTATGGCATATTGGTAGTTTGTAGTGGTAATGCAGACTCAGTTCTAGATTGCATAGCAACTAAAGGAAGAAAAGCTATATTAGCGTTTTTTACCTTTTGTTGTCTATTTTCTTTATATGTTGCTGTTTTTTCTTATTTATTTTCTGAACTTTAGCTTAAATAGCTTTATGCTTGGGGACAATTTGGTTTTATTTAGGTAAATGATTCCTTTATGATTCACAGAGGTTTCTGGACGTGGAAGAGAGAATGGCAATCTTGAGTCTACACCGAAAATTGCCAATAAGACAGTGACGAAGAAGGTGGGAACACTGGCATCTAATGAAGTAGCTGCGTCCATGTCTGGGATTGCATCCCAAACGGCATCAGGAGTTCTGTCTGGCTCTGGTGTTCTAAATGCCAGACCAGGGAGTGCAACATCATCTGGGTTACTTTCCCACATGGTATCAACATTAAATGCGGATGTTGCAAGGGAATACCTGGAAAAGGTAGCAGACCTTCTGCTCGAGTTTGCTCAGGCTGACACAACAGTAAAATCCTACATGTGTAGCCAAAGCTTGCTTTGCCGTCTTTTTCAGATGTTCAATCGAATAGAACCCCCTATTCTTTTGAAGGTAATATAGAAAATTTTCTTACCCCCTATTCTTTTGAAGGTAATATAGAAAATTTTCTTTTTACCTCAATTTTTCAGATTTTATAAATTATTTCTCTCTCTTGCAATCTTACTGGTTTCTTGTTTGTTTTAGATACTGAAGTGTATTAATCATTTGTCAACCGATCCAAACTGCTTAGAGAATCTTCAGCGTGCAGATGCAATTAAATATTTAATCCCAAATCTTGATCTCAAAGATGGGCCGCTTGTATCTCTAATACATCATGAGGTTGGGATTCCTAGCCTAAATTCCTNTTGCAAGGGAATACCTGGAAAAGGTAGCAGACCTTCTGCTCGAGTTTGCTCAGGCTGACACAACAGTAAAATCCTACATGTGTAGCCAAAGCTTGCTTTGCCGTCTTTTTCAGATGTTCAATCGAATAGAACCCCCTATTCTTTTGAAGGTAATATAGAAAATTTTCTTACCCCCTATTCTTTTGAAGGTAATATAGAAAATTTTCTTTTTACCTCAATTTTTCAGATTTTATAAATTATTTCTCTCTCTTGCAATCTTACTGGTTTCTTGTTTGTTTTAGATACTGAAGTGTATTAATCATTTGTCAACCGATCCAAACTGCTTAGAGAATCTTCAGCGTGCAGATGCAATTAAATATTTAATCCCAAATCTTGATCTCAAAGATGGGCCGCTTGTATCTCTAATACATCATGAGGTTGGGATTCCTAGCCTAAATTCCTATGAATATATGCCTTTTAGCATTGCAAATTGTATTTTTGTGTACTTTGTTTTATTGTAGGTTCAGTATATGAAAATCTTGTTTGGTAATTACATGCATGATTGGTGAAGCGGCTCTTGAATTATATTCTGATGTAATGTGTGGACCTGTATGTATGTTTTGAGTGTCCCACCATGCAAATAGGAAAAAAAAAAAAAAAAAAAAAGAAGGTAAATAAAAGTAGGAAAATGTTTCTACTGCCTCAAAAATTTGTTTCACTGCAGTTTTATGGAGAGGATGGCAGCTACACTGCATTGAAGCTTTAGCTGCACATTTAATTTGTATTTTCCTATAGGATCAATAATCTAAGTGTTTTACACCACAAACTTGTCTTGTTTATTCTACGTCTCTGTCCAAGTGTCATCACTGAATTAAGTTGGACTGTCAATCTGCATGATTATACTGCTATTTTTTCATTGATCTTTTAACTATTGCCACTGACTCGGTTCTGATCTCTCCATATTATTTTGTGTTTCTTAAGGTCCTCCATGCACTGTTCAATCTCTGCAAGATTAATAAGAGGAGACAAGAACAAGCTGCTGAGAATGGAATTATTCCACACTTAATGCACTTTATAATGTCTGATTCTCCCTTGAAACAACATGCATTACCTCTTCTGTGTGACATGGCTCATGCATCTCGCAATTCAAGGGAACAATTAAGGGCCCATGGTGGATTGGATGTGTATTTGAATCTTCTTGAGGATGAGGTTTGGTCTGTGACAGCATTGGATTCAATTGCTGTTTGCCTGGCTCATGATAATGACAACCGCAAGGTGGAACAAGCATTGCTGAAAAAAGATGCAGTTCAGAAGTTGGTGAAGTTTTTTCAAAGATGTCCTGAACCACATTTCGTGCACATATTGGAGCCTTTTCTGAAAATTATAACGTATGTGATATAACTTCTATTTTTTTCAGTGGAGATAGTTGTTACTAGTTGTAAATATTGATATGATTATCTATTAGTCTTTTGGGGTTGCTAGTACAGAAGATGCCAACCTCATAAGATTGTCTATTGTGCCTTTTCACTATTTAAATACAGCATAACTTATTCTGACTGATGTGCTGTGCAGATAGGATTAGATACCTGCATATATCAGCTAGTTATGTTTAATTTTGTCAGCATTCAATACTTTGATTCACAGATCAATATGCATTTGATGTGTGGCATAATAATGTTTGGGAAATCTTAGATGTTTTTTAATTTAAAAGTAGTTGTAGTCACCAAAATATCTGGGTGAACGTCTTATTTTCTTGGCATTGACAATAATTACATACTGCAGAATAGCTCTCCTTCTGGTACTTTCTTAAATTCTAAGCACTATGTTACTTTTGGCATGCAGGAAATCATCCCGAATAAATACAACATTAGCTGTCAATGGTTTGACACCATTGCTCATTGCAAGGCTGGATCACCAAGATGCTATAGCCCGTCTTAATCTGCTTAAATTAATTAAGGTAAGTAATACTTGCATATACTTTTTACTTTTCGCTCTCCATCTCCATTTCCCATTTGATTCAGTCTTGCATGTGGTTTTTTTTGTCATAGTTTGTAGTAAGGAGATAAAGTTTAGTGAACCTAATGTATTCACAAAAATTCCTGTACTGTGTTGGTAAAAATCTTGGCTGACCTCACCTTGCTATTTGAAAGAATTTTCTTTCAGTAATCTAAGTTGCTTCAAGGAATGAGCAGAATGCCAGTAGTTGTATTTTCAAGAATTGTCATTAGGAAATGGAAGTCATCTTTATTAAATTTTGCCTGCCTTTCATTTTTCCTTGATATTCCCTTCAGTGTCATTCTATGCAGAAAATTGTAAAAGAATCATTTGGCTAAAATTTCCAAGTCTTTTTAATGAATTGTGACTGATTCATGGTTGTTCTGTTTGTTGCTGGATGTTGCTTTCAAACAATTAAAGGTTTGTCTCCAAGAACTAACAGGCTTTAGATGTTAAAACTTGTCCCCAATTTGTTAAGAGTTCTGATGTGGGCTTAGTTTCAGCGAGATGCTGAACTATAATACAAGTTCAAGGCCATTCACGTTTCTCAACTTTTAGGAATAAATAACAGTTAATGCTTCTCTTTTATGACGTGTGCCTGATATGCAAACTTAGGTGCCTTGTGTTCCTGTGATAGAAAATTATCAATGTGTTCAAACAGTTACTCGCAAACTGGCAACTGTGTTAGTTTTAGGTCTACTTAGCGTTTCAATCCATGCCAAAGCCCTGTGTCTTCTTCTGTGCCCTTCCCCTCTCTTGACTCGTTAGTCAATATTTATCACCTTTGTAGAAGTTTTAAGTAGTTGAAAAGGACTCCCGAAGCTGAGCGTATATCTATATTAGTTTTGCAGTTGACCATTTGGGTATTAATCTTAAATGGAATTTCATTCATATGTTTATTAGGATTAATATTTTTGTCATCATTGTACAAAAGAGTCCCTATTTGCTTCCTATAATTTTATGAATTGCTTACGGCGAAACTTTTCTGTTAAGGCTGTTTACGAGCACCATCCTCGGCCAAAACAATTGATAGTCGAGAATGATCTTCCACAAAAACTTCAGAATTTAATCGAAGAAAGGAGAGATGGGCAGCATTTAGGAGGACAAGTTTTGGTCAAACAAATGGCTACATCGCTGCTTAAAGCACTTCATATCAATACTGTTCTGTAAATTCGTGTCTATATTTGTTCTGCCCTCGCGTATATTTGGTTCAAAAGGGAGGAATTGTATTTATTTATTTTTTCTAAGCCTCGTTTCTTTTTCCATGGTTTTGATAATTTCTAATAGCCTATTTAATGATGTAAGGGCGTCAAAATTTGGAATTTACTCCTACTTGGATCTTGTAGGTGTCCCATAGTGGTGGCTTCTTTTCTTCATTGAGCTTGCCTAGAATCAAGACTCCTTTACATTTTTTTTTTTTTTTTTCGGGAAAATCTGATGGTTTGGTCTCTTGCAGCCCTGCTTAGTTTGTAATACAAGTACAAACCCCTTTTGTAGCATCTAATTCTAATGTAGTGTGATTTATATTGAAACCATTTTAACTTCTGGTATTATCGGTTTGATAGGAATTATTATGTTTGTAACTTGTAAGAGGAAAATTCAGAAATTTAATAATATAATTAATTACGTTCTCGCAAGTGCAAGTATTTCCTATTTCTCGGGACTATCTTTATCTCAATGCATACGCTCATACCTTTGCACAAAATTAAAAAAAAAAAAAAAAAAAAAAAAAAACTTCCGTCAATGTTAATGTAAACCATTCGCTAGATGACAATGTTGTATTTAGCTCAAGGTCTGACATTACATGCAGAGTTTTTGATGCTGTCGTGTACAAATCATAAAGACAAAACATAAAGATAATATAACAGAAACCAGGAACAGGAAACGTTCAATCATCTGAGATTCACAAAAGAGAGACCATAATTCACACATAGTATACTCTAATTGGCCAATTGAGTTGACATATCATTTATCCCTTCTCTTAAGTATCAAAACCAGATAAGACAACATATTTATTTCAGAGAGAATTTGAAATACCATTCGAGAAGTACAAATATTTATCTTCTTTAACCATGATATCAATTCAGTAAGGCTGGGCTGGTGGCGTAAGGGCTAAGTGATAAAGTAAAACTCCAGAATGTCACATCAATTCACAACCATTCATCACACTAAAAATTTGATTTAAAATTTGCAAAGTGCAATAATCTAAATCACTTAACCTAATCAACAGAAAAGTTAACAGTCTAGTTGTAAGTTTCATGTCACCAAAACCATTTGTAAAGTCGTTAAACACCATCCAGCATTTTTGGGAAGCGGTACAAACTCATCATCAGAAAAACACAATGCAACGACCCAGAAAAATCCTCACACAATTATATGCATCACTCCATCATTTCCCTTCGCCAACCGAAATAATAACATCCTTTAAATCGATCAGCAACATTCATCGGCATCTCATCATCTGAGTACTGTAATACTGCTCAATATCTCTGAGAATCTTGATATCATCGTTTTTCACAAAATTTATAGCTACACCCTGTAAACCATAAAAATCCCGTTTTAGTGACAATACACAATTCAACTAAGTTAACACAGACATCATGCAAAATGGGTGAGACAAATTGTATCATGGACATGATGCATACGATAATGAACTTATGCATCTATTGATAAACTTATTCACCTCATGATAAACCTATAATGTAGAGACCTATCCCTTTTTTTATTTTTTTTTTTTTTTTTTTTTTTTTTGGGTTAAGAAACGTGTTAAACTTTTATCCATTGAAATTAAAATAATTTACTTGGGAGTGATCTTTTCCAAAATACCGTTTCTATGCCGCAAAAGTTTTCAAAGGGCTTATGCATAACAACTTTCTTGCATGCATTGTGAAAGAACTCAAATAAATATGATCAAAAGTGAAAAAATAAAGTATGTTAGAATTTCAGTATTTGTCAGGGCAAAGAAACAACATCAACCTGCACCTATAATAAGGCTGAGTATTCCAGTATAATAATAATAAGGTGAATACCTTGCGTCCAAACACCAACCGTCCGTACGGTGGATATAGAGCTCACGATTATTTGGAAGGTCATAATTTATCACAAGAGAAACCTGAAGAAAATGATTTAAGATGAATAAAAAGAGCAAAAATTATTTTTCCTAACATTCACAGTGAACACATACAAAAGGATTAGAACATTAAAAATAAATAACAAGAGACTTGCCTGTTGAACATCAAGTCCTCGAGCCCAACATCTGTTGTAATAAGCCGGGTTGTACCAGAACGAAATTCTGCCATATGGCATCTCTTTCTTTCTGAGGCATGTCTCCATGCATTGATGAGACGTAAAGTTGTAGCCACGCATCTTCTTTGTTAGCCAATCCACCTGATAGAAAATATGAAACGTTATAATATATCCAAAGATCATAATATAAGAATCAAAATCGGTAATGAGTGTTGAGTGAATAATATGAATCCAGTAACCTCATTAGTTCATTTGTCTCAACTAATGCTAAGGAAAACTTTAAGGAAAAAAAAATATATGGAGAATGTTCTCCTAATCCCCACCAGTCATCCAGTCCAAAATGCATGTTCATTCAACATTGAGAATGTATGTTATATTTGGACATTGAATCCAACTGTTCACACAAACTATCATTACATATATACTTGCTACATAGCTATTTACTACTGTTAACTAAATGTTTTTACCACTGAACCATGGGTCCTAGTTATTTTAACGGGAGAAAACAAAACTTAGAAGCTCCTTTTAAAGAATAACACATCACCATTTTCATATTTAATCTCCCCATTCCGAGTGAAATTAGATACCTAAAAGTTCATTTCTGTTCAATTTAAAACCACTAGCCAAATAATACCTTTCGCTTTGTGTTGCAGAAAATAACAGCTTGTGTAATTGTAAGGGTATCATAGAGATCGCATAGTGTGTCAAACTTCCACCCTCTCTTCCACTGCCACAAAAATTGCTTGATTCCCTGTTATCACAAAAAATACAAAATGGATGGAGAACTTGTCTAAGGATCTAGATTTACTACAGAGGCAACAAACCTAGATTAGAACAATCAGTTACCTCCAAATCAACTCATCACGCTTCACAAGAATCTTTACAGGATCGGTCATAACTTGGTTGTCATCTCCAAGATTTCTGAGGAAGGGTAGCAGATATCAAGACAACCTACAATAACATATCAAAGATTTAGAATGCCGTTGCTACAACTTGTCACACCTAAGCATTACTATCAGCTATTCTAGAGATTAAAATGAACATCAGACAGTTAATGTCATGTAGTGACGATGATAAACATGAAAACTAAATTAAGAAACAAGAAACTCATTGTAGACTACATTTTCAGATTGTTATCTCTTTTCATCTTCTCATTATGTTAATTAAAACCCACCCAAACCATAAAGACAGAAAGCAAACCTGAAGGTCTGGTGGAAGATATCGGTACACATCATAAATTTGATCCTTGACCCCTCTGCTCAACATCTCATCAGATTCATCCTAACAACATGTCAAAAAATATTAGTACTGGACCCATCTACTAAAAGTAAATGCCACAGAAACGGTAAGAATAAATTGCTCACAAGGACTATAATTTAATAGCTCTAGTACGCAATGTCCTCCTCTTGATCATATCACAGACTCTGCCCGGAGTTCCAGATACAATATGGACTCCATTCCTAGCTTCTAATATCTTCACCAACATTTTGCCTCCAATGCAAGCATGGGCTTGTATATTTATAAAATCCCCAATTGCCAGTATCACTTTCTCCGTCTGAGATGCCAATTCCCTTGTAGGTGACAAAATCAAAGCCTGTACCCTATAATCATATTATTGATCATTATTATCACTACTAAGGGTTTGAAAGTTAAGCCAACAATTTCAAGAATTAAAATTAACACAAAAGTTGAAAAATTAAAAAGAAAAAAAATTAGGGTTTGTACGTACTCTCTGGAAGCCGTGTCGACCATCTGGCAAACAGTGAGGGCAATCATAGAGGTCTTGCCAGTACCAGACTGGGCCTGTGCAATTACATCTCTGCCCTTGATTATAGGCATGACGGCCCTCTGTTGTATGGCCGACGGCTTCTCGAATCCATACTGATAAATTCCACGCAACAGATCGTCCTTTATTCCCATCCCATCGAAACTCGTGATTGCCTCCACTCCTTCCGTCGTTTCAAACACCATCTTGTCTTCCTCCATTCCGCCGGCTCCCCTCCTCAAACCGCCACCGCGGCTCGTTTGCATCGCTGTGGCTGCCGCCATTACCGCAATATTCCACAAAAATAACAGGGATTGACTATCTTCTTGAAAATTAAGACGCACGAAGATGGATTTGGTTCGAGTCAAATTAGGGTTTTTTGGCAGAGAGAAAGATAAAGTTAGTTGGCCGTGTATGTATTTTAAAAGAATTGTACAACTTATTCCGAGAGTTATGATTCGGTATGTCAATGTTTTAATGGAAGTAGGGCTCAGATGGATGATATTTTAATATATGGTGACATGTTTCATTTTGATTGGCTAGTGATAAACCGTCATGAAAAAACATCAACAGTAAATTTTAAAAGAGTTAACGCTGTTCCCACCCAAACAATAGCCCATTCCCACCCACATTTTAAATACTATTTCAGTATCCAAAACATAATTTTATTAGTAATTTTTGTTGTTAAGAAGGGCAAAATGGTCAAAAGCCCACAATTCATGAGGGCAGAATAGTCACCAAACAGTGGCTATCAGAGAAGAACAGTGCACGTTAGCAAATGATGGCTCACGTTAGCCACGTTAGATTCGGTTGGTTTTTGCCATTTTATGGTCGATCCCGACATTCAAAATCATTTCTGACACCACCCAGAGAATCCCCATCACCTCCTCTACAAAACCCAACCCCCCCTTTGTCGTCATCACTCACCATTACCTCCATTCGCATGGTCGACTCTTCAAGTCGGATTTCTGGTCGATTTCCTTGCCATAAATTCCCCCAGACACCACCATCACACTCCGCACAACCCACTCTACATAACCCTAACTTCCATCATTGTCCCTTGCTCATCGATCGTCGGCTGTGCACCACGCGACCTTTTGACTTCTAAGCCGATTTATGATCGTTTCCGATGCCAAAAATCGTCCCTACCACCACCAATCGATTCCTTAGATCTTCCTCTCCAAAAGTTCCAACATCCCAGATCTCGTTTGCTCACCAATCGTAGGCGATTGAAGCTCCTCCACCCTAGGGTTTTTCGAGTTTTAATTTGATTAATTGTGATTGATTCGTTCGATTTTTGTGTTTCTTGGGTTGAAAGATAATTAAGAAATGTTTATTTGTAATATTTTCTTGTCGCTCGCACTCCCAATGTCGACGGCAATTGCCGGCAAGGGAAGAGGCTAAGAAG